TGTGGTGGGCGCTGACGGTGGGGACAGTTGACGAGTATTACCAGAAATGTCGCCCTTCAGCAGATCAGCTTAAAAGCTTGCTGACTAAAAAGGAGGCAGAATATAGGCGAAAACTGTCTAAACTTCAGTACACTAGTTTATTACTTCCTATCAGTGTACAACAATACCTGGTAAAACGACTAGCCACTGCTGCGGTTGCCTACCGCCTGGAGGGCGCCAACTGGCGCCGACTAACTCCCGTCTCCCTGCTGCCGCGGTTGAGCCTGAGCATTCGTCAAAGATGTCTGCGCACTATTCTGCGATCCGAGGCCGTCGCCTACTACCTCCAGTGGGCCATTTGGCTGCTCTTCTGGACGACGATAGTCGGTTTCCTGGCTGTCTACCCAAATTTGTCCCGGCACTCCGTCTGGTCGATGCTGTACGCTGCCGCCGAGCTGACAGCAGCCTGCTACGTTCTCCTCTCCACTGTGAGGTACGCCATCGTCCTCACCACCTACAACACGTTGACCTGCTTCACCTACACTGGTCACGTTCTTTCCGAGTGGCGCCGCTTGTTTAAGGTTCAGGGAAAACAGTGTTCATTTTTTCTCCCGCAATCCCTTTTCCGCTTCCTCCTCGAGCACAACCGAATCTGCTACCACGTGACCAGCGGAAGTGAGCTGCTCAGCGGAAAGACCATATTTGCCACCCTCTGCACGCAAATTCCCTGCAATGTAGTTCTAGTGCGGGCGATTGTCTTTCAGGGGCAGTTCAACACGCCTCCCTGGTTGCAGGCCATCATGGCGCTGATTGTCCTCTTTCAGCTGCTCCTCTGCCTAGCCATCTTTCTTCCCCTGAGCTGGTGCCACACTGTGTACCACCTGCCAAAGAGGTTCATTCCTCAGCTGCTGCTGAGCAAGTGCGGTGGGCGGGGCTGGACGAGGATCAAGCTGAAGTACGATGACCTGTACGGTCGCCTGACCCGGGGGCCGAAGATTGGCTGCAGCGTGGGGCCGTTGCATGCCATCACCTACAAAACTTCAGTTGAGGTTGAATTTGTTTTTATGTCTCACAACAGTCTTTTATTGTTTTAACAATTGATTTTTAATCTATTTTACCAGCTACTCCTGACGTACATTGCCTGCCTGCTGATGGTCATGAAACGACGGAAGGGCTCCGCCTCACGATATTCACTTGTATTTTGAGCAGTTTTTTGTTTTACAAAAATTTTTCTTGGGCTAGTCTTCGCTAATATCAGTGAGCAGCTCCTGCTGCGCCAGCTTTCTAAAATACGCTCGATCAATCTTTCCGATGGCCGTTCGAGGCATTTTGGAGATGAAATGCACCCCCGCGCGAAGCTGTTTCTGAAAGCCCATGTTTTCTGGAAAAAAAGAATGAAAAGGTAAACATATAAAGAAGTTTTGCAAAGTTATTTTTACTTACGCTTAACCAAGTTCATCACCTCTGCCTCCTCTACCGGAAGTCCCTCTTTCTTCCTTTGCACATACGCCCTCAGCCACTGTCCGTCAGTGAGGTGGGGCACGCCGACGACGCAAACTTCCGCAATGGCGGGAGCACACTTCTGCAGGAGAAAATGCTCTACCTCGGCGGGCACCACTGACCAGATGCGAAACTTGACCAGCTCCTTGAGGCGATCCGCCGCAAAAAGGCACCCACTGGCTGGGTCAAAATAGCCGACGTCACCTGTCCGGTACCAGCCCTCTTGGCTGATCGTTTCTCTTGTCGCCTTCTCATTGTTGAGGTAGCCGAGAAAGCAGGGCGGCCCTCGGAAGCAGATTTCACCTAGTTCTCCGGGAGGAAGTGCCACCAGCTGATCGCCGCTCTCCAGATCGGCAATCTTCAGCTCAATGTTGGGCAGGACTACTCCTAAGCTTCCGGGAACAAAGTGTTCCGGACCGGCCTGGGCCCGGTCTACCGTCACTACGGTGCCCACCATTTCGGTGCTGCCGTAGAGGTTCCACAGCTCGGCGCCGCCGAATCGAGTTTGAATCGCCTTCAGCAAGTGGTCCGCAATTTTGGCGCCGGCGTAGCGGAACGCCTTCAGACAGTTTAAATCTAAAGACAGTGAAGCAAAGTCCTCCGTGGCCAGCCTGGAGGCGACGTTTGCCGTGAAGAAGGCCACCTCAATTCGGTACCGGTCAACTGCCTGGAGAATGGGCTCCAGAGCGGAGTCGTCAAAAAGGACTACAGTCATGCCGGCGTCGAAGGCCTGAGGAATGAAGATGGTTCCGGAGAGGTGACCAAGCGGGTACTGCATTGCCAGTTTAAAGCCCTCAAAGTGCGCCGGAAGTCGAAGATTAAGTTGACCGGCGATGAAGGAACGGTGCGAGTGGATGGCCCCCTTCGGCTGACCTGATGTGCCGGAGGTGTAGACGATGAGGGCGTGATCTGTTGCGGGATTGTGAACTGGAAAGTAGGGAACTGTTGGCAAATTTTGGGGTTGGGATTTAAAGCTTTTCCATTGGTTGCAAATTTCACCAAACGAGAGCAGTTTTTTTCCACGCAGTGTTTCAGAGTTTTGTAGCTGATCATCAACCCCTTTTTGGCTGTTGCTCAACTGTACAAAAAGCTTCAGCTGTTGTACAGCGGAGGAGTATTCCGGTGAATTGAGAGCCTTGTGCACTACCGGAACCTGTTGATTTCCAAACACTAGAACAGTTGCTTTTGAGTCAAGCAGCTGCTGGGCCATTTCGTAGGCGCCATTCGCCGGTTTTGACTGCGTCAGAGTGACCGCCCCGAGGTAGGCGGCGCCGTAGAGGGCCACCACGTACTCAATGCTGTTGTCGGCAAAAAACATTACCAGATCAGAGGACGTGACGCCCAGTTTGACCAGAACCAGAGCAAACTGGGAGGCTTTAGCGTGCAGCTCGCCATAACTGATGGTGACGCCCGATTTAGGGTCAATCTAAAATTATGAGTTTTAAGTTTAACATTAAAATAATTTAATTTACTTACAATGGCAATGGTGTCTGGGTGGCGTGCTTTGAGGGCATTGATAAAATATTCTCCCAACGAAATGTTTGGATACTCAATGGGAGGCAGTGATGAGCGGATGATGTAGTCGGATTTCATGTTGAGTTTTTGTTTCTAGATTTTTGCGTCAGCAAAGTTTTTTGTTGAAGATTTTTTTTGAGTGTGATTAGTCATTTCTTTTCCATCGTTCCTTTAAATAGTAGCTGTTCAAAAATAAACTTAAATTTTTTTTGTCTGAAAACATTTCCTCTTATCTTTAGATTGGTGAAAATCCTGATTAACTGCTGGTAAAAAAGTTTATCGTATGGCATTTTGTGATATTAGCTAAGTTTTACTAGTTATAAGATTTTTTATGTTTGTGTCTTAGCTGTTCTAATCTACAGCTGTTTTTATCTATTTGAACTAGTGACGACTACTGATAATCTCATTTAGTGTAGGCAAAACATTGTAAAAATTGATAAGCACATCGGACAAATCGGTGAACCAGCTGTTAGAAATGAGAAAAAAGGACTTTTAGGACAAAAGCCGATTTAGTGCAATACTTAGATGTCTTACTAATTTGTTTAATAAATTTGCACTTTAGCAAAAACAACCCATTTTTTATAACAAAATTAGTTGAGCATTTGTGTTAACTACAGTGAGTGAAAAAGTTATCATTTGAAATGTCCCTGTACTCAACTAATTATTGGTTTTTATAATAACTTTTTTAAATTGGTTCTAGATAATTTTAAAACACATTATTTTTATAATTTAAAATGTAATTAATTTGTACAACTAAATTTATTTAGTAAACTTTAAATAAACCAAAAGATAAAAATAAAAGTTTAAAATGCAAAATTCAAAGTAAGCAAAGTTACAATAACATTTTTTTTGTTTTTGTTTCTTTTGTCTCGTAAATCATCATGAATTTAAAATACACATTTTTTAATGTTTTAATAAATTATAATTTCCTTTTGCACTGTGAACATTGCAAAGGAGAACATTGTTTGAATATTTTAATTTGTTACAAAAAAGTTTTAAAAAATGTTATTCGATTTTGCTTACCTGTACTTTTATTGTTATTGCTTCCAAATATGTTTATCATTAAAAACTTCTATTCAACAACTATAAACTTCTTTTACAATTAAAACTTGCATTTTCCAACTAAGTATAGCATGCTCTTTGTTTGCAATCGACATGATACGAATAGCTTGAAAAATGCGACAGCTTCAGCTAAAATTACTCAAAAAGCATCTTTTGCAGCCATTTCAGGCCTACCTGGAGCTGCGGCTTGAGGAGAAGCAAGCAGAAACTGAAGGTGGAAAAGGAATCCAAAATAACTTGATACTTTTTGCTCAACTTCACCTGCTGCTTTACTGTACATTTCAAGTGCTACTTACAGTTTTCAAGTTGACCGATTTTCAGCGTCTACTTCTTTGCGACTTTTTGCTTTTCTACTCAATGCCAGCTCGCTTCAATTGGATCTTCATTCTCTTTTCCGCCGATTCAATGTACTTTTTGCACAGCCTCTTTTCAGCCTTTTCTTCTGCGGGTACGGTGCAATTGTTTTCCCTTCTACACCAGATACTGTTTCCTTACCAGAAAAGCAGGAGAAGGAGTAACTTTTTCATCAACAGCAGGCAGCAGTTCAAGGGTCGACCGGAGAGTGTTTCCGCCGTGATTCAGTACTACTTCTCCATTTGGATGTACATTATTCGCTATTTTTCAGCTATTGGAGGTAACTTCTAAAAAGCTCTGTTTTTGCTTATTTTATTTAGAAACACTTTATTTAGTTCTTTTGGTGTCCGTTTACCATTTGACCAGCTGGCGCTTTATACTCTTGCTCGACTTTAGCGCCTCATTCTACCTCAGCACACTTTCTGGATTTTTCAGCCTTCTGCTGATCAACTTTTCCGCCCTGCTGTACGACCTGATGGTGATCACCTACGGCTACGTGCACACCATCTTCAGCTCGGTGCTGATCACTACCACCAAGGCGGTCTTTATCAACTTTGAGCAGGTGAATGGGCTGCTAAAAGTGAACACACCTGTTACCGAGCAAAAGGTGGCACTTTTTGTGAAGAAACACGCCCAAACGCTGATAGTCGTCTTTGGGCTGAATCGCTTCATCGGCCACCTCGTGCTCGCCTTTATTCTCTTTCACCTACCGCAGAACACCTACTTTCTGATGGCCATCTTCTTTGAACAGCATCAACCCATTACAGTGATCGTTTTAGGAAATTTA